GGCACTTATATACGTTATATACGGCATCGAAATCAAAGCGCCCAAACACGACTCCGGGCGCGCGCGAGCACGACGACGTCATTATTTTTGTCCTCGATTCCGGTGTATGCGTATATACGAAGGCGCACGTATCTATATGTACGAGTTATAGTACTACGATACGTGTGTGTGTGTGTGTGTCGGCAAGTGTCGCAATCGCGGATGTGCGGATGTGTGTCCCACAACTGATTATACAATATCCATCGACGTTCGACGCAACGACTCGACTTTGCTGTGTGTGTATGTGTGCGTGTGTGTTTACGTATCCGACGAACAAACGTCAACGCGCTTATACGGAGAGAGACGTTGGAGATCTGGACGTACATACACACACACGAACTCGCGCTTCTCAATCAACGAGATACACTGCAGCAACAGCGGCAACACTTGTATGTCGGCTGCGATACACACACACGCGAACGCTACTACGCGACGATCGTAACATCCGCAAGGGAATACTACACACAGACACGAGTGTACCGAGATTCGATTCCTACGTACGTATGTATGTATGTATGCTGTGCTATAGATGTGCTTCGATGCACGTATAAGTGGAGAGAGAGACAGCTATGTACGTGCTTTATCCCTCTATTTAATCGGGGAATTACACGCGCGCGCGTTTAAACGAGAGATATATACAGAGAGCGAGAGAGATAATGAATGTAATTTTTTCGGCAAATGTAAAATCGTCCGTTTGTGTGTTTCGATCCGGAGGGGATAAATATACAAACGATGTATAGAAAAGAGAGAAAGAAGGGAAAGATCAGAGGTGTAAAAAATAAAATAAAATAAAAATAAAAATAAATAAGAAGAAACGAGCCCAAGGACATTACAGCTTTAAGTGCAAACGGTCTCCGGGGGTGAATACGTACACACACACACATACAGACACACACGTGCATCGATGCGATAGAGCTCAGGTTATACTACTGCTGAGCGCGCGAGGGGATACGTACTATCCTTATATATACCTATGCTGCTGCACTCGCTCTCACTCTCTCACCAGAGCTTGAGCCAGGGTGCACAACGTCGTTGTATATGTATATAATGTACATCGCGGGGAAGTTTCGTCGTGGGAGATGATTTTAGCGGTAGTGGTAGTAGACCGACAGTGGAAAAATCTCAGCTTTTCTCGGCGCACATATACAGCGCAGCACAACCCAGCTCGTGTTCCCTCGTGTAGGCACACATATCTCCCGAAGATTTTCGCAGCAACAGCAGCTTCTTCTCTCCGCAGCTCTCTCTCTCTCTCTTATATCCTGCTTTATATACCGTGGGAGGTAAAAAGGCTTCGATCGTAATTTCTCCTTTACGCCAGGAAGGATCGGTAACCTGTTTTTTCTTCTACTTTTTTGTCGTCGTTATTATTAATATTATTATTATTATAACCGCTGCGGCCGAAGATCATCGGCGCATTTTGTAAAAAGTTTAAAGAGAGAGAGAAAAATGATACCGAATGGAAACGAAGACAATCGTGTGGTTTTAAACTGCATCAGCGAGTAGTACAGCTGTAGCGACAGCAGCAGCAGCATCAGCAGGTACCAACACAGCAGTGCCGCTTCTCCAGCGAAATAAGTGCAAGCGGATTTAAACCTTCTTGCTCTCTCTCTCGTACCTCTTTTTTTTCTGCTTTCGCCTTTATATTTCTCTCTCTCTTTCTCGTTTCTCTTTCGTGCTTATACTTCCTCTCCCTCTCTCGATGCTGCTGCTGCTGCGCAATGTACTGCCTCTCTCCGATATACGTGTCTCCGCCGAGAGTGAGGGAATTTTCCGTATTAAGGAGCTTTCTCGATTGTTGAAACAAGCGCTCGAGAAGCTCGCAATGCGCACTAGGCCGCCTTCTTTTTCCGGTTAGCTGCAAATCATCTATTATGTACATGCGTGTGGCGCGCTATAAGCGCCGAGAGTCACGAAGTTGATTATCACTGGGATATACGGAGTGTGTACGTACGAGTCACTTGTATTACGTGTGTAGACTCGTATTGGAGCGCGGCGAGGATAAAAAAATTACGAAGCTAGCTGAACGATCGTCATTTGACTTCACTTATTTGTGCTTTTTGCTGCTTCGTCAGCTGTTTTTCCTTACGATTAATACAACGTATACAATCGTGAAGTGTACAGCGCATAAGTACACGCGCAGCCTCGATGTATCATACCCGCGGGCCAATGAACCGAACAAGTTGACATTTATTCTCTCGATATATATATTTTTTTCTCATTCACGTACCATTGGAACGTCGCCAACGTCCGAGGATTGTTATCCCTTTTTCTCGAGGGGGGCCATCGATTTCGCTCATACATACATGCGCACGAATGTGTATCGGGTACATCGCGACTCGAGCGCGGGACACTTTTGGTACTCGTATACGTATACACGACAGACACATTGCGCTATACGAGAGAGAGAGATGCACGATATACTGCCCGTGTATACACTGAATTGGTTTCGGCGCGGCAACGACTTTATACACAGTACTCTCTCTATATGTCCCCGTGATACTACAGCAGGTCGCGGTAGTCTTGCCGCGCGGTGCAGCATCGACAACGGAAATGACTCTAGAAATCTACCTCCCTTCCCTTCCCCCCGCCGTTCGAATATACTGTGTGTGCGTATCGTTATCCGTACCGATCTCGGGTATGTTTTGCTGTATTTATGTCCGTACACGCGTGTCTGTCTGTGTCTGCAGCGCGTGTAACCGTGCGTGCGTGAAAAAGCAAAATTGATCGTTTGTGTGTATACGTGCACGCGTCTCTCTTTTTGGAGAATTGTGTATATCGGTGTGGAATCATAAAAACTGTGCTACGCACGACAAACGATATTTTTCTGCTTGATTCATCTTCCTATACATGCTCTCGTCCGCGTACACGATTCGCGTAGGTTTATATATTTTTTTTTCGTCGTTCGCTGCAAATCTTTCGCAGGAGGAGCTTTATCGTGAGGAAAAATGTGATCCTGCAACGCTTTGCTCGAAAAAAAGTGTAAACAGCGAGAGCTAGCTAGATCGAGTCTAATTTTAAAATTATTTATTTTCATAATTTTTGTGAGTGGTAATCTCAAATCGTAAATTTTCAATTACTCAGCTACGTTATCGATCGAATCAAAGTTTTTCCATTAATAATTCTGGCAAACTAATATTTTCCCACTTTTATCTATAATTATATTAAATGAATTAAAAAGTTTCTAATAGAATGATACAATATTTTATTGTTAATACGGTGGTTGCGTAAAGTTGTAAATGTTGATTATTTTACGTTTGGAATTAAGTTGCGAGCTGTCACATGCGAGGCTGGCGGAGTAAACATAAACATTGTCACCCGAGGAGCCACGCACGTATACATTCATATAGTTAGCTTGTCGATCGCAGATGTCGCATCCTAAACTCCCAAGCGGTTACATGCCTCTTTGAATGGCATATAAGAAAAATAACTTCCAGTCAGAATTGGGTCTTCACCAATTTGCTCCATTCATAACGAGCTAATAGATAGCTCATCGTTGTAAGATATTTTCAGGCTTTCTCCGAAGCTCGCGGGTCCCGGACAATACACGCAAACTCAGGCAAACACGCACGAGCGTCATGCGCCATTCAACGAATAATAAATACGCGGCCATAAATCCTCGCGGCGCGTTAGGACACGATCGCCCACGCGCGCAGCTATCCTATACGTGTATAATGGCGATTCGAAAACACGCACTAGTGCGTGTACATGTAGGTGAAAATCGTTGCGCATCGTAATTCGTGCGGCGATGAATCGCGCGAGCTGAAATTTCGAAGGATTACCTCCGAGCGTTATAAATATATGGCGTGTACGCACGTGCGTGAGCATATTTCCGTGTGTATAGCCCGATCGAAAATAAATATGCACGACTCCAGCCTGAGCTGCATATAAATACATGTGTGTGTGCAGCATCAAGAGCATCAAGTTTAATGCCGTTCGTTATATCGCACGACGATGTATGGAATGAGAGATTTCGCGATCGATATATATCGAGCTAACGCGACAAATGGAATTTGTTCTTCTTTTCCGTAAGCGCGGCGCCAAGGGAATTACGTCAAAAGTCGCGTTTCATTGTTTTGTCGCACGATCTTCGACTTACCTTACACCAAACCGAAACTTTACGAGAAACAATTTTCTTTCTCGGCGACGACGACGACGACGACGCCTTCGTAAAGGGATGGCGAGCGCAATTTATCAAGAGGGATTCGAACTATCATAACTGGAGCCGCGTATTTCAATGTGTGCGTATATAGGCATTGGAATCGCGACGAGCGGCAGGGGACACGAGTGTGAAATATGTATTCAAACTTTTGCTCGGGCCGCGGTAAACAATCGACGCGCGAGGATTTATTATCAAATAGCCGGAAAAGCAAAGACGCGGGAAAGTTTTGCTAATTTTCAGCATTGATTTTGTACACTGTTTAAAAAAAACCGTAAATTTAAAGTAGAATCAGTTAATCGTTAAAAGATGTATGAAAATTCAATCATCTCTAATGCCAGCCTCTACCAATAGATGGCGGGTACCCTTTATCTATAAATCTACAAGTGGCAAAGTGCAAGTGATTGTATATAAGTCAATACACGCGCTTGTTTTAAAGCAGAAATAAAAAATGGCCCAGCCTTTACATTATTAGTAACGTATACGTGTATATTTCTCTAACAGTATAATAAACGTTAAATAGGTCTTTAAACCACGCTTAAACCAAACCAAACGTTACAAGCGAATGAAAAAAAAAACATTCCAATCGTGCGCAGGGGTATCAATAACGCACGCTGTGATATACACGTGGCTGCTGCTGCCACTGCAGCGTTCTTTTGTCGTTGCTATATACATATCCAGTCAGAGCTGAAAGTTCGCTTCGTCGAATGCATAAAAGAAAAAAAAAACAACGACAACGAGGTACGATTCGTACACGGCCTCGGTCTATCCAGAGATAGACCGCGAGAGAGAGGAAGTAGACAAAATGAAGCAAAATAAAGCAAAAATCACCGATGAACAAGAGCGTAGGGAAGCAATGGTGTTATTCAGCTTGAAGTAGTTCAAACTCTGTATAGACGTCACATATATATCATCATCGTCGTGTCATCAATGGCCCCGCGCGCTCGACAAAGCAAGCCCCCCCCCCCGAGATAAAGCGGCTCGTGACTTGTGAAAACAAAACAACGACGACAACAACAACAAAAAGCGTCGACGTGTATCGCATTGGATTTTTCGCCCCTCGTTGATCACGTGGATCGGTCGGCCTGCGGGAAAGGATGCCTCTGCCCTCGAAAAAAAAAACAAACCATCATACAGCCATTACGGGCACCGCATGTATATATACACGTTGTACGGAAATGATCAAGGAAGTGGTATTTATACGATATTGCGTTACGAGTAATTAGCTCTAATGGACGCAATGGTCGTCCAGCTACTTTTAATCTCGCAACGTCGTGGTATTACCTCCTCCCTTTTTTTATCTTCTCTTTGCTGTAATGACATTAAAACTTTTGAAAATAACGAAATAAAGAGAAAGACAAAAAAGATCGAAATAATAATTCAATCCTCTTCCTCTTTGTGCGCTTGCAGGCATCGTGACAGCGGGCGGCAGCATCGTGACGTCGGGCGAGCTGCGCGAGCGACATCGCCAGACGACGGCGACGCGCAGCGGCAGCTGCGCCAGCGGACGTCTGATCGACGACGACCTCGACGACCTCGACGAGACCCGCAGCGGCGGCGGTGTATTCTCCTCGCGCCAGAGCTTCATCGATCTCGTCAGCAGCAAGATCATCTCCAACACTCGCACGCCCACGCACTTTTACCATCATCAGCCCCAGCTGCAGGGCGGCGTCGGCGAGCAGCAGTACTTCAGTACGTCGCGCGACTCACTGCACCATCAGCAGGCCTACGTGAATCGGGGCGCGAGCGAGCTCGACCTCAGCAGTCGCGGCGGCGGCGGCAAGGACAAGGCGGCCCGCCAGCTCGGCATCAAGGACTCGCGTGTGGCCGCGGCGTCTTCTAAGGCCGCTGCGGCGGCGGCCCGCTCGAATTTCAAGCTGGCCAACTGCAACACCGGCATGCAGACCAACAACTGCGTGCTGAACTCGAGCGGCGCGATGATGAACACGGCGACGACGACGACCACGATGACGACGATACCGTCGCGCGAGATGACCCCGTCGCATCTGTCCGTCACGCCGTCGTCCATCAATCATCTGGTGGGCAACAGCGCCTGCAACGGCACCGAGACGTGAGTAATAATAATAATAATAATATCAAATAATCGCATGCGATCTCGCACTTTTTTCGTCTATTATATATAATCTGCCCACACGCAAAGAGTAGTAAAGTATCGGTCTCCTCTACGTCCAAGTCGTTGTTACAGCCGCTACTCGTATCAGCAGCAGCAGCAGCAGCGCGGCAGCCGCGGCTATCCGGGCCAGTCGGGCCAGCGGGGCTTTCGCACGGGCGCGCCCAACTGGTCGTTCGTGTTCGACCCGGCGGGCCGGCTGTGCTACTACTGGTCCATGGTCGTGTCGCTGGCCTTCCTCTACAACTTCTGGGTCATCATCTACCGGTTCGCCTTTCAAGAGATCAACGGTGCGTATATAGTAAACACGACACGACGACTGAAGTGCAAGTAATCTATTAAACCATGCTTGACTTATACAGTCATTTATACTTTGCCACTTGCAGATTTACAGATATAAGGCACTCGCCATCTAGTGGTGGAAGTTGGCATTAAATATGATTAAATCTTTTTATTTATTTTTTGGTACATTAAATAATGTGATAAACTGAATTACTGTTAAAACATCAGTAATAAATCAATATATTCAAATTTCAGTATAAAATCATTTGCATTAAAAATAATGTTTGTAATTGCATATTCATAAATTATTTGCGCAGTGTGTTAAAAAAAAAATAAATCAATACTCACTCATAAATTTTTGACGAATATTGCATGTAAAAATATCTTAAATAAAATTCAGTTATGATTACTTCAATTATAATGTCAGATTTTACATTAATTCTACGTTGAAATTAAAGGTTTGTTCAGACACGGCAAATGCAATTAATAATATTCAAATTTTCTCTTCGACAGGCGAAACGATAGTCGTGTGGTTCTGCCTGGACTACCTGTCGGACTTTCTCTACGTGGCCGACATAGTCTTTCACTTTCGCACGGGCTACCTCGAGGACGGCGTGCTGCAGACGGACGCGACCAAGCTCAGCCAGCACTACATGAACAGCACGACCTTTTACATTGACTGCTTGTGCCTGCTGCCGCTCGACTTTTTGTACTTATCGATAGGATTTAACAGTATACTCAGGAGCTTTAGACTCGTTAAGATTTACCGGTACGCTCGATAAATAACACGAGCTTCGCGCAATGTCGATGATAACGATAATAATTACGGAATCTTTTTCGTACAGATTTTGGGCGTTCATGGACAGGACCGAGCGACACACGAATTATCCGAATCTGTTTCGCTCGACCTCGCTGATCCATTACTTACTGGTGATCTTTCACTGGAACGGGTGCCTCTATCACATTATTTATAAGAATAACGGTTTCGGGAGCAAGGACTGGGTGTTCGCCGACTCCGAGACGGCCGACGTCGTCAAGCAGTACCTGCAGAGCTACTACTGGTGCACGCTGGCCCTGACGACCATCGGCGATCTGCCCAGGTAAAACAACGCGACGAAGAACCGATTTTTTCATCGTTCGTTCTTCCATCGAATGTCTGAATATTTTTTTTTTGTTTCGTTCGCAGGCCGAGGACTAAGGGCGAGTATCTGTTCGTGATAGCGCAGCTGCTGTTCGGCCTGCTGCTGTTCGCCACTGTGCTCGGCCACGTGGCCAATATCGTCACGTCGGTGAGCGCTGCCAGAAAGGAGTTTCAGGGTGAGTCACGCATGTCTTTAATTTTACGCGTGATATATTATAGATTTTTTATTCATCGATGAACCGATCCATTAGCGACACTCGCACACACGCGGCTACATTGACCCATAAATTTCATCGAAATTTCGCATAATATCCCTCGAGTTATTATTGTAAGCCGCGCGCGCGCGAAAAATACGACCGCTCGAATGCCATTACTCTTGGCGAAAGCTGCGTTCGCGCATACATCCATAAGTATATTAAGAGCATGGATATACGCGTGCTCTATATTTGTAAAAGCGATTTCGGAAAATCGTAACTTTTTCCTGGATAAATTGCCCCTCCCTCGTCGGATTTAGATATTCGCGCGTGCCATGCGTTATAAGTGGAATATATAAACGACGATATAACGTACTGTACCCGTATATATAGCAGCAGTAGTTGTGCCGTACGTGCAAATGTGCGCGAATTTTCGCGTACCATACGCATGCGGAACTCGGGCACACACACATAATATACGCGAATGTGCGTACACATACGGAAGAGATTTAATAAAATGTCAGCGACACCGAGAGAGAGCTTCGGTGACGCGCGCGTAGGTGTGTGCGTATATACGTGCGTGCGCGAGTGTAACGCTCCTCGCGCAACTATAGAGGGAGACGGAGTGAGTTAATTAGCTCGAACAAACTAGTTTACGCCGGGCCATGGCGAGCCGTTAATTATGCCGAGTGGCGCGGCAGCGGTGGTGGTGGCCAATGGTCGTACTCGTCGTCGTTGCCGCTGCTGCAAGCTCCGCATACATACGTGTATATTTATGCATATGCGTGTGGATGTTTACACGTACGTGTATTAGGCGACTGGTGGTACTGTGGACACATCGCGCGCAACGAGAATAGAGGTACTACCGAGGCACACACGTGTGTTATATGTTTTATGCGTGTATGAACGTGCGAGAATTTGCGAATTTGTCGATTACGCCGATCGAGTTATTTCATATATAGGAACGGGTGCTGGAACGAGCGTATAGAGCGTATATCTACTCGAGGGAAGAGCGATCGAAAATAATTTTATACTGTATGCTATGATTTTTTTTTAAATCTGCGTCTTATTTATCGATTGTGCATCGCTCGTGCAGTAATCGCCCAGTAGCATCTTGAAGTGACGACTCGATTCGCCTCCGCCATACGTATATTTGACCTCTTATAATGTCCTCGCGAGATTTAGAAATAATTATGGATTTCGGAAGTCGATTAAAAGGATTTCCCAACGTTATATTTGATGATGAGTACTTGGTAAAAAGTGAAAGGATGAATGGGGTTTTTGAAAAATCGATTTTATACAAAAGTTTATTCAAAAGTTTATTCGGAATTATGGAAAAAAATGTTTCACAGTTTTCACCAAGTTAACATTGGTTTAAATACTCTAAAGATACAAAATGTTTATGTCGAACGACTGCATTCGGGGACTGTATTTATGTGAACACTGAGATAGCTTTTTTGTCTAAGTGAACTGTGACAAATGTCACATTGGAAAGGTTTTTTTGCGATGATGAACTAAATTTGTATGCCTTTTGAGATGACATTTTAGTCCAAATGACTTGTGACAAATATTACATTCAAAAGGTTTGATACGATCGTGTACCAATTTTATGTGTTTGCCGAGGTCATCCTTGCGAACATATGATTTGTGACAAATATCACACTCGAAGGTTTTGCTAAGAATATGTACATGCTTAACGTGAGTTTTTAAAGTTGCCTCGTGTCCAAATGCTTTGTGGCAAATCTCACACTCGAAGGGCTTAAAAAGAGTGTGAACTGAATTTATGTGTCTATTCATGTCTCGCTTGCTGGAAAATGACCTGCGACAAACCTCACATTCGAATGGTTTGCGGCGATCATGTACTACATTAACGTGAGTTTTAAGATGTGATTTTCGTCCAAATTCTTTATGGCAAATCTCACACTCGAATGGCTTAAAAAGAGTGTGAACTGAATTTATGTGTCTATTCATGTCTCGCTTGCTGGAAAATGACCTGCGACAAACCTCACATTCGAATGGTTTGCGGCGATCATGTACTACATTAACGTGAGTTTTAAGATGTGATTTTCGTCCAAATTCTTTATGACAAATCTCACATTCAAAGGGTTTGCTACGATTATGTGCGACATCAATGTGATCTTTAAGGCTACCTTTGTATCTGAATGATTTATGACACATCTCACACTCGAAGGATTTGTTTCGAATGTGTATTGTATTTATGTGAACATTGAGATGGCCTTTCTGTCCAAATTCTTTATGGCAAATCTCACATTCGAAGGGTTTGCTGCGATCATGTTCTCTATTTATATGAGTTTTGAGGTTAGATCTTTGTCCAAATGATTTATGACAAATCTCACATTCGAAGGATTTAATACGATCATGTACTATGTTTTTGTGTTTATTGAGATTACTTTTTTGTCCAAATGATTTGTGACAAATGTCACATTCAAAGGATTTAATACGAACATGTACTGTATTAACGTGAGTATTGAGGTTATATCTTTGTCCAAATGATTTATGACAAATCTCACATTCGAAGGATTTAATACGATCATGTACTCCATTTATATGAGTTTTGAGGTATTTTTTATGTCCAAATGATTTTTGACAAATGTCACATTCAAAGGATTTGCTCCGATTATGTACTGTCACTGTATGCCTTTGGAGATGATCCTTGGATCTAAATAAGCTATGGCAAATTTGACACTCGAAGGGTATACAGCGATCATGTACTGTATTTACGTGAGTATTGAGGTGACTTTTCTGGTCAAATGCTTTCGAACAAATATAACATTTATATGGTCTAATTCTTTCAAGTATCGTATTCGTATGTTTTTTCACACTTGCTTTTGTCGTATACGTTTCTTGACACATTATTGACGCATATAATGCTTTTTCTTCAACCATTTTCTCGAACTTTTTTTGTTTCTCATACGCGACAAGTTTCAAACGTGAGTTCACATTAAATTCACAATTATTGTAGTAATCGAATCCTTTTCTTATCAAAACTATAAGACTTTTTTCAATCATGAAATTGTTTGGATTGGCGCTTTCTTTTTTCACAATAAGTTGATCACTTTGACACTCAGATTTGCAGATGATTGTTGATAGGGGCGTCGATTCAGTTTTTACATCTTTGAACTCGATATCTATGAATATTTGTTCATCTAACCTCTGATGTAACACCTCAGCCTCATTCTCGAGTTTCACCTAAAATTGAAATTGAGGGCTTATATTTAATGGTAAATCAACAAAACATTTAAATTATTGAACTCACCGATAATTCATGAATCGGAAATGTTTCGAAGTCTTCGACCTTGCAGGAATTAACCGAATCGAAAACACAATTTTCATCCGCATTCGTCCAAGTATCTCTCGGCTCTTCCTTCACCCTGAAGAGTAATAAAGAGATAGTTTAGATAATCAAAACACAAAAATATAACAAACACAATTATACCTAACTACGTCTCTGTTGCTTTCCATCGCTTCCTCGATAGTTTTGCATCCACAGTGATCCACGGTAAATTTTCAAGATGCAAACTGAGAAATATTCGAGGTTATGTGCCACGAGTAGACAACGCCCAACACTGTATTTTCAAGAAACTTGAACTCTTTTGAGGAAATAATTCGTAAACACTCACTCGTGAATTTAGTCCTTCGCTACCAGCGTCTGAACTCGCTACTCAAATTAATTAACGAGGTGATTCGGCGTCTGCGATAGATATCTGGAGAAAATTTCACTCCCCCGTCGAATTCTTCTATACGTGGTTTTCGCGCACGTGTGTCGTTCTGCTTATAGCACGAGATGTAAACACAGCTAAGTAGGAATTCTGCATGCGATTGCCCGTATTATACTACTGCTATTATTATTGCTGCTTACTTATCTCACTCGAATTTCGCCTATATATTACTCGTAGAATCGCTCACATATATTCATATATAATGCAAAATGCGTTAATCGGCCGCGCTACCCTGGCACGCCGACGCACCGTCGCTTTACTCCATCAACAAATTTAATTTACCAAACTAAAACCGTAGTAAGCCTGCAGAGGCTTATGGTATAATATCGTGAATATCCCACGTGATACTCTCTCTCTCTCTCTTTCCCTCTTTACGCTCGAAGATGATGAATAATTTCATTTTCAATTAGCCTCGGCGTGCGCGCGCGTTGACACTATACACAGCCGGCTGCTGCTGCGCTATGTGGTATCCGCGCCTATTTCTGCGGGCACAAATTAGCATCGTACTGTGCTATACGGTACTGCACGACTTTCGCACTCGTATATAATAATTTAATCCTTCGCTCTCTCGCGCGAGCTTACGGAAGTGCTCGCTACGGTACGCCGTACGCGTTATATACATAGGTTTTTTCCCTTTTTCCTCGAGAAAATCTTCCTCGGCGACGATCTCCGACGATCGCGAGCCATTTCATTTTCGGGTGTAAGCGAAAGTCGCGCTGCTGCTGCTGCTGCTACTGTACGTGGGCTTACGTACATAATTCCTCGGGCTCAGTGAAGCAGGCGGCCACCACCACCACCACCACCACCACGAGCCGAATCATAGCGATTAATGCTTCATTTACTCGGCTCGCCGTATACCCACCCCCGTACTGCAATTTTAAGCTCCCTCTCTCTCTCTCTCTCTCTGCCTTATAGCCTCGGCATATTCTCACTGTGCGCAGGGCTTCGAGCCGTATAATTTATAATAAATCCCGAGAGGTTTCTGCGTTCTGCCGCTTCTATATATATCGGTCGTGCGGCAGGAGAAAAAAATGTTTCGAGGTTTTTATGTACGAACAGGCCGCAGTAATTATCGACTCTCGATGCGTGATTCGAACGGAGTGAGCTTCTGCGGTGTGTTCCACGTATTTATTATAAAAATGAGAAAATAATTGCGCTCGTGAAGCACATTCGTAGTCTCTATTTTTCCTCGATAATATATAAAGTCGAAAAATGTTAAACGTCTCTCTCGGCATTCATCCG